ATGCCCACCTCCCCCCTCCCGTCGACAAACAGCGCCTCCAACTTGTTAACATACTTTTACTGGTCTCCTGTTTGATGATGCGTAACGCTTTTTCCACCACTTGTGGTGGCGACGATTTCAGAAGCGCTGACAGTAAGACACACAAACTCTATACATCGATCGATCAAGGCAATAACTCTCAGGGCAATTGAACTCCCAGTCCATCTCGGTCACTCGGTTGACCTGAAATCAACTGTTGAACCAATGCGGAGCAGCCTTATTCTGTGCTTCAGACTAGGTAAGGAAATGCAGGAAGAGAATACTTACAGAACCTCTAGGCTTTAACACCTTTACAAGACCTATGCTTATATGCTAAATGCATAGAATAGTCGCAGCAATCATTTGGGGGGGGCGGTGTTTAATACAGTGCTTTCTTTCCTCGATACGCTCTAAACTGAATGCACATTCCGCGCTGGCTGTATGGGCGGAGACAGGACTAGCTCATTGCATTTCGCGCGCGTCTTCTTTCTAACCACTTCGAGGGGGGCATCAATGAGGAAGGTTCGATGATTCTCTGCATGCTAGTGTTCTTCTGCTGTCACGAACTTTGCCTTTAGCTAATTCTGATTGGACGGGAGCCTTGCATTACTACTTAGGATTCAACCACATGCATGTACCAAGAAATTATTCAAAACTACTCTAATTAAAAGAAAAACAGAAAAAGAGGCAGCACGACCTTATTACTGATGGCATCTCCATCGCACCACGCACTTCGCTCATTACTGAGCGCCGCAATGAGAATACAGATGAGTTCCGCATCCTTCGCCGTTGCAACTAACTTCGGAACATTGGCTAGGAACATCTAAAATCTATAATTTGATCAACAATATCCTTCAAAATACTCAAAATACCCACTTCAGGTTTATAATCGACCATGAGATTCATATCAATACGGTGTTTCTTCATCTCTCTGAGAGCTTCTACGCATTTCGCAGAATCCAGAAGCTGTTTGATAACACGGATGACAAAACTAAATGAAAGCAGCATTAGTAAAACATATGAATACAAGTCAATAACATTGAAAGGATGACGAAGGCGGTGTAGTGGCAAGTGTTTCCAAGGCCGTAAAGTGGGAGTCATACCTTGCACCAACTCCCATTCGGGCCAACCGGGCCCAAATGGCGGTTGATCAGAGGTTAGTCCTCGGTTAATGGTCTTGGTCAGTGATCTTGGACCAAGCCTTGTGCCTCGGGGCTCGACTATTTGGTACCAGACCCGTCCCAAAGGATAAAAAATCGACTGGACCTATAAAATGCTGGCTCTCGCGCCACACCGCGTTTGGAACCGTTATGTTTCTGAACTGGAATTCGATGCGCGGCACATCCCAAGTAGGAATGGCCATCCATTGGCCTGATATTGTTGAGAATGAAGCTCTCAAATTTCAATTGGAACTGTTCACCCATCCACCCCTTCCTCCAACACCCTTCGACCCGCTCCTTTCTGACTGCATACGGTGTTCTTGTACAAACAGTAATGAAAAAGATGGAGCTTTCGCTGATTTTCGATATCATTCTGGATATGGCATGCACTCCTCTGCCATTAGGAATCGTAGCGGCTTATAGAGTATGGCCGATATATCATTTGTTAGAGACAACTAATGTACATGTCAGCGTTTTATCCTCCCAGACAAATCCGGTACCAAATACTGTTCTCCGCAGAGCAGATGAGTTCGTTGACCTGAAGGGGGGAAGGGGGGGGGGGGAGAAGTGGGGGCCATCCCGCATTTTGAGACTTTTTGGTACCACCCACCACTTCCTGGCTGTGATTTGACCTCTGGGCAAACAGTAAGCGGGCTGCTTGCCACTACACCACTGCTGCCACATAGAAACAGTGCAAGCGTTTCTATAAAAATATACAAGTGTAGTGAACTGTTACTTACGGTCGAGGATGAATCGTTTCAAGGTTCCCTCGAGGCATTTGCATTATGACACCCGTGCCCATACCACAAGCAATTAACTGGCTTCCAAGTTCCACAGCACGTTCTGAACAATTCTTCATTTCGTATGGATGTAAAATTTCCGCCGCCTACGCCAGTATATTTCACTCATGACAATTTCCCGATCTGGAGATCCAACAAAAAGCTCTTCCTGCAACATACCCCCCTCCTCCATGAAGGCTTCATGGAGTCGCTCATCGACTGGGCATTTCTACTTTCTTAGCGATCCCATTATATGACTCCCACCTACCAGCACTCCCTTAGAGTAGAGGCAGAAAAAAAGATATGATTTGGCATAATGCCATGCCACTGGATAAATGACACGCAATGATATGGGGGAGCAAGGAAGTGGCTTAGCTTTCATTATATTCTCCAGGTTTTGTTACATTCTCTCCTACAATACGAAAGTCGCGCCGAGTAAATGGGCAGGAATTTCTGGCACTGCCTACACCCTCATTTAATATTCATTCATCACACATTTAAAAAGCGATCATGAGAATATTTCCCACCTTTCCCAAGCTGCTGCCGTGTGGTCAACGATATCAAATGCAGTTTGTGATGTAGAGTTATGTAAATACAGATGTCATCGGATATTTGATATGATGTCACTGAATTCGCTAATACATGACCATCAACGAAGAGTTCATGTTCAGAGGTTAATGCCAGAATATGATCCTAAATAATGTGAAAGACTTGGAAACCAAACAATCTGAAACTTCACAACTATTGACATTGAAAGAACGGAGATAAAAGGATCCTTGTGCAAAACTGTGCCTACCGCCAGTTGGACAGAATTACTTTACGTTCAGTTGATTCACATGATTCACCCATCTCGATGTCCCTTCCTCTTTACGCACAGACAAAATCGCTCATCTATAGTACACTTATTCTGGTTTCGCACAAGTATTCCTCGAAAGCCGCTTTCCCTCCACGCCTCCCTCTTCCCCCCTGAGTGGGAGCTGGTGAAGCAATTTCCGAGACTATTTTTACACGTGTTTCACTGCATCTATGCAGCAAACCCCACAAAACAGTTTTATTGATTTCAGGGAACCAACCACTTCTACTACCTTTGACATTTTCTTAAATTTATGATCCAAACAGCATGGTCCACCCTTCACATCCGTAAAGTCAGCTGGTTCTATTCGAGGAAAGACTTATGGGCACACTGCCCGCTGATCGCATGGGCAGACTGCCTGATGTGGACAGTGTTCGTAAGCACACGCTGTACGCTGCTTATGTACAGGCTGCTGTCAGCACACTGCGTCAGGGGCTTAGCCCTGTTTGACACAAATTCACTGAACGAACATCGGCCATCCCGTCCTCCCTCCCCCGCTCTCCACTTCCATAGGTACTATCTAGGTGAAAGGTAGAAATCTGGCTGTTCTCGTTAATTTCAAATGAAAATTGTGATGGCAGGTAGTATAAGAATATATACGGGAATCGTCATCCCTCTTAGCTTCCCTCACTTCGCCAGGCCACAAACAGGATTAAATACATTGTGCCATGCACTCGTGTCTTTTAAGGCAGAGGGACCACCGGAGAGTACCAGGTAAATATGGCTAGCAGGAAAGAACAGAATGCTCCAAGCAGGCGTTGTACGGCTGCTTTCCAATGAAATTTGTTCTCTAGGCCCCTCAGAAAGGCTCAACATGCCGGTCAGCACTCCCATCAAAACCTGCACGCCTACAATTTACCATATCGTCTACCAACTAATCACGATCGATCCAAGCTGTCCCACTCCAGAAACTGTTGCTGGAATATTGCTTTCTCCAGTTAATCAGGGGAAGGATCCTATCTCATTGGTGACCGAAAACACGCTTTCAAATTCAACATAGTGTAAGCTTTTTGCAAGTACCATTCGTTTTCTATTGAGTTCTACTTTTCGCAGCTTCTTGGTCAGTTCTTGCGAAATAGCCGAATACGACCGGCGGCGTTTCGAGACAATGTTAAGTGAGCAGTCACTTTTCATCAGATATCATCACATCAACACATAACGAATCAAACACAGATCGTTTTGATTTCCGTCGTATTTGCAATCACTTTTTACGTTATATGTGCTCTTTCGGAAGCCTCATTGTACCATTCCGAACACATGAAAAAACGTAAGAGGCCGCAAAGAATTTTTATATGCAAAACACTCTAAATGACTTCAAAAGAATCCAAAAGTTCTCGCAAAAAATTTTCAAACAATAGAAAAATTTTTTTGCGAGAACTTTTGGATTCCTTTGAATCTTTTGATTTTTTAGCAAATAACAAATTGTGTGGCAGGCCTCTTTTACAGTTTTCATTGTCAGCATTTTTTAAGATCACTACATCTGCATCGCCGTGATTCGTCACATGGATAAAGCTTAGTCCAGCTGCATTGTAATAACGTCAGGCGCATGCTCATGCCCTTCCAACGGTAAATGACAGGACCATTTCTCGATGTTTCAGCCGTCCCGATTTCGCTTTTTTTTGCACTTTTCAGCGCCACCCCTTTACATTTTATACAGGGAACCAAATTTTTGTGCTCTTTGTCTCCTAGCAAAGCCGTTCCCGTCAGAGGAACTATTTTCAGCGCCGAAGTTTCTTACGCAATAAATGATCAGCTCAAATGTACTGTACGCCCCACTGAACTTTGACATCACTACAGATCTGACCGACGGCAGTGCGAAAGCCATGTTCAATTCTTCACGCCTTACAGTTTCTGCAAATACTCCCATCCAAGTCGGCAAAATCTACCCACGTTTCGAAGACGTGTGGTACACCCATCCCAACCGCGACGGGAACGTGTGATTTGTATACTCTAAAACATTTTAGTTGGTGAATCTGTTCCGGGAGAAAAATCGATGTCGTCATCGAAAGAATTCCGAAGTTTGGAGTAAAATCCCTTTTTGGCTAAAAATTTGTTCCAGGAGTAGTTCAACACCCTGAACATTAATGTTATATCAGCTTGACGACGCGGAAGAAACTTTTAGCGCCCGTCCGCCAAGTGTTAATGTTATAATACTTGACATTCGCTAGAACGACCACTTTAGCGCCCTCGCCAAGTGTCGGCAAGAAGCGCTTTGGCGCAAAGAGAACATTTTCTATGGATTTTCTGTGCAGAGGGTTACATTAGTCATGTGGGTGAATTTGGATGCAACTATAACGGGAATTTTGAAGGCTGCAGGGAGACATCAGGCAGCTCTGATCGTCTCTACACTGCTGAACTCAGAAATTTGAGCCACGCCAAACTTAGCCCTATCTACAGTTCTTCATCATTGCAGACCGGCGGGCTGGTCCAGTGCGGCTGCGTTTGGCGCGGTGCCAAAGTCGTTCTGCACCAGTTGTTGAAGCGGGCAAGTGACATTACTGTATTATATCCTTCGTATTACTCGTTTTCTACCACTTTTTGTCGCATACGCGTTTCAACGAAAAGGCTGAGAACGGCTTCAACAGTGTGCGCACATCAACACTGGCTGACACGCCCTACCGGTTCCGCAAGTGATAAGACTTGTACTTGCAACTTCATATCCGAAGTTTAGGTTAGACTTGAATCAGGATGATCCTCGAGTGCCACTTGACGCTCCTAAAGACGAGCACTTGCGAAAACGTTCATTTGACGCCGATACGCCTTTCACTGACGTATATAACGCTTGCAAGGTGGGCGCCAGGAGTGGGACTTCCACGTCTGCACAAAACCGATGTGACACTAATGTTCATGGAGTTAAATAAGTGTAGACAAATTTCTTGCAGTTAAATGTGTCAAAGAAAACTCTTCAAAAAAGGGCTCGGTGGAATGAGAATGGTTTGTTCCACCGCTCATGCAGAGAAACCATCTGCTTCGCGAACCTCAGCGGCTCATCAATGAGTTCAGGTTGACGAAGCAGAGAGGCAGGGGGGAAAAAATCAAGACTTTTATCCCAGCTTTGGAAATGAGGATCTTGAAGAGTGAATGCTGCCAAAAAGTTTTACACACCATACTGGCTAACAATTTTCCTTACGTCTTTACGTATAAAATTGTTTGCTTCAAAGATGAAAAACATTGTTGCACATCACCTCCCCTCTGCCCTTCCCTCCCTCTATGGAGAATTGCCCTGAAATTTTTTTGCAGAAGTTTGAACACCTACGTCTCTGTAGTTCCGTTCTCTAGATTGATTCGTATAACTTCGTCAGTCTCATCATGTTTAATCGCCAAGAGATGTTCGCTGGACCAAACAATATATGAGATGAACCGTGTCGTTTCCACATTATTCAGTTTTATCGAAGTCTTTGGTAGGAATCCTTCATCTTCTACACCTTTCAAATCTGCAAAAAAAAACTAGAACTAATCATGACCAATTTCTAAAAATAACGAAAATTCTATCGATATAATTCCTTGATTAGTATCTAATATTAGTCACTATTCGGATGCAACGTCACGGTCTCTCCATGTGTGAGGTAAATGCGACCACACTTGCGGTGACGTGCCTTTTTTCCGGTCAAAAGTGCACGATGGGCTCGCGCCGCTACATGGCCAGCCACACGTCAAACCATGGCCAAACGCTTCTTTTCTGTCTGCACCCTCCTCGCTTCTGGTTGTTCTCTAAGGCGGACTACATCTTTGCTGCGGGATTTGGTATTAACGCAACAGCTGCACTTCGAGAATAGCTTGGGCGCAACGGGGAGAACGGCACCGACCCGCCCGCGTTATGCACAATATGCAGCACTTGCGTCGACACCGTGGTCGCGCAGCGCTCAGTGTAGAGAACAATGAGAATCGAGAGAACGCAGGCAAGTGTCGCGTTTGACTATGCTTAGGAGTGTTGCTGTTCGTGCCCCAGTGTGGGCGAAGTAAGGGGACAGGATCTGGAAATCACTACCCTGCAACCCCCCACGTCCATGCACTTTCCAGCCTTACTGCACTACGAGCATATCCTCGCTTAGAGACGAAGGACCAGGAGTGCACGAAGCGGTGAGTGTACAGTTCGTTTTCGAACAGCTCAGAACTAGACGACACATCTTGGCACTATTCGACGCTACTACTACAGAATTAAGCGATCAT